TGTTACCCCAACTCTTGGTTGGTATCCTTTGATTGTTATCCCAACTCTTGGTTGGTATCTTTTGGATGAAGTTCAGATCGTATTGGAATAGTATTCCCAGCATGTCGTATTCCAACTCTTGGTTGGTATTCGTTGTTTTGCATTCCCGCAGGGTGAAAATTTTCGGGTTCTTTTGTATTCAATCACCTTATCGAGAAACTCCTCAGTGCCCCATACTACTCAATATTTCCTATATTATGTTTTCACTTTAGACTCGGGCATAGAGCCTTTCTCATAAGGTTTGCAATCAAATTTTCCAGAGTGCCAAGAACCACTGATATGAAAAATAGTTAAAAGAAATAGAAGCAAGAAAGAGAGATAAACAAACACTCAAACATGCGAAGAAACCCTAGACTAGGCTTGACTTGCTCAGGGGTAAACCAATCCCCAACAGAGTCGCCATTTATCGTACCTCGAAAAATACGATCTTCGCGATACATAAAACTAGGATTTGCACGACCACGGATGAACTTATCAGATTCGCCACTAAACTTTATTTATTCCCAAGAAGGGAAAGGGAAAATATCGAGAAAACCCGCAGGGAATATGATAGGGTATAATCATCACAATCATGTTGGGTTCGGAAGTCGGTTATATAAGGAGAAGGTACTGGTACTCCCTACATGCATCGTACTCGATGGGAACCGTCTAAATTGTCTAACCATGAAAGATGTTCGATATTTCTAAGCTTGTTAAAAGGAGAAGTGGATGATACTTGAGGGAAAATGAAAGTTTTATTATTATTGTGTTCGTCTGAATATACAATCCAGTGCCAACGTATCCCAGAGGAAATCAGAACTCTGTAGTTCTTGTTAAAATGTTTTTTTGTTGTTGTGTGTTTTTTATGAATGATTCTAGGAAGCATGCCCTTTTTGAAAAGTTTAAACGGAAAAGGCTAATAGCAAAAAAGATTTGGATTTATGAAGTGTTTTTTAGGTTTTGAGAAGATTTGTTTCTAATTTAGATCGCGCTAAAGACTATGGGTAGAGGTGATTATTTCAATCAACCAAGTCGAACGCCTTGCGTTGAAATAATTAGAGTGAGTGTTTAGAAATCCATTCTCACCCCTTTTCCACCACTTAAGGCTTGTGACACGCAATCCTAAACGCCTTTTATTGTGTTTTTTTTAAAGTTTATTCAAGAAAATGAAAATTGATGTTGGATCAAGGGTTTTAATGGGGGATGGGTTTGAAAAAGGTTTAAAAAGGAAAAGGGAAAGTTTGATGGCGACGCATAAAGCGGTCGAATTACAAAAATGGGGTATGGCTTGATATATGCATAAAAAATGCTTAGATTGATTGATCAATTGGTGTCGTCCAATGTTTTTGAAAATGGAACTTGGTGTTGACCAAATTCTTTGATTTTTTGAAAGATTGCCTTTATATTTTTTTTAATTAATTATCTATCTAAAGAAATAAAAGCGGCAAAAACAAATAACAATTACACATGAGGGTGAGGGATACATTTTGTCAATGGGAAGTAAGAAAATGACTAAAATACTAAACAGTCAAACAAGTAAATGCGGGACCGAAACTAATCGAAATCGAAGAGCAACTGAATTTAGCTCTGAAGCTAACTTAGAGTGGATTCGTGTAGGAATCACTCTATGAGAAGTCGAGCAAATGAATATATGCATTCAAGTGATTCTCGAAAGTTAAATTAGATTTTAACTCCAAAATTGAAATGCAATAATAAATCAAACAACACTCAAAGACATTATTATTATTATTATTATTAAGGTAGTGTCACAAATTTTTACATCAACTGAAATTAATTTGAAAAAATTTAAAACTAAACACAATATGCACAAGCTATCAATAAAGAAGGTATATTGCTAGGAAATTGACATAAAAATAAAATATAATCGTCATAAAGTTAAAAATAATATTACCACACTACAAAAATAAACAAATATTATATATATATATATATATATATATATATATATATATATATATATATATATATATATATATATATATATATATATATATATATATATATATATATATATATATATATATATATATATATATATATATATATATATATATATATATATATATATATACATATATATAAACTTAAAACAAGGGTATTTCTAAAAAAATTTAAACAGTGATCATATTTATATACATAGGACACATAAATAAACATATATTGTATATACTATGTAATTCTGGCATATGCATAAATATATAAGAATCACAAACAAATATATAGAGTGTATACTGATTTCTTTTTTTTATTTTGTGTTTATTTATTTATTTAATGCATAAAATAAAAATTTAAACATAAAAATTTAGTTTTTAAAATACTCCTAAATAAAAAATGAAAATAATAATTAAATAATAGAAAAAAAAATAATCTTTTTACTCTTTTTTAATGAAAACACACAAAAAGGAAAATAAATACAAAAAGTAATGCAATGGAACTTGAACCCGCGACCATATGATTAAACCTCTTAAACATACCTTCCTACCAATTGTGCTATCTCATTTATTCGAAATAAAAGCCACTCAAAAGCATATGAAGGGTGAACAAAATTGGGGTATGACACATAGTTATGGTTTCGAGAATCTGGTAAATCTTACCCTTGATAGAGTCCAACTTCTCTTTGAAGGCAGCTTGCCCTTGTTGAATCTGATCCATTATTCGTCTAATGTTGGCTCGAGTTGTGTACTGGTGTCGAGGAATCATCTTGATTTATTGGAGATGAAGGAAGGTGAAATGACTTTTTGCTTTTGAAATGAAATGCAAGATGCATAACTGATGCAATGCAATGCAAATGACATGTATGGATGCAATGCAAGATGTAAGATTCCAGGATCACAGGTTCGATCAATTTTGAGGTTTGATTATATTATTACAAATTCAAAATGGGAACCACTAAATAATAAAATAACAATCATGAGGTAGAATTGACAACATTTATATCTCAGTTAACAATTAATGAACATTTTTCATCCTATTATAATACAAAGAAAATGAGGAAACAGAAGAATAAATAAGTGACAATAAATCTCAAAACAAAAAGATCTACTCCATAACGAAACAAAAAGCACACCTTCTGACTTTTCACAACTTGTCCTTTAAAAATAAATTCGCACAATGTAAACACAATAAAAAGTTATCTTGTTCCGCCAGTTAAAAATAAATTAGCTATAATGTAAACCACGCCCAATCAGGATGAGCAACATCAGAAAATATGACATCTACCATGCCATCTAACATTATGTACTTGGTTGGATGTCTAACATCTTCAATAATGGGAATAAAATTAGTACGCTTTTTGATCATGTTAACCAAATCATGCCCACTTTGGTGGGAGATATCTACTGCATACACAATTCTAATCTACATAAACAGAACAAATTATTCTAATCAGTCTTGAAACAACACAACATGTTAAAACTACACAAAATTTAATTAATACTTACTGGACCAACAATATCAGACAGTTGTTCCTAAAGCAGCTCCTAGGTAAAGGACTTTAGCACCAGGTTCTGTATAGAAAAACAAAACATAGACATCAGTATTCGAATGATAGTGCCAAGTAAGAGATAATGTTGAAGAAAACGAAGCATCTTACAATCCAAATGTCGTCAACACCACCAAGGACTGCAACTGCCAACTTGGAACGAAAATGGTTCCAAATTCTATACTCAACTTTAGTCCCATCTTCATTATGCGGAGAGAGATGTATGATTTGCCTTTAGTTCCATTGGATTCAGATCTATAGATAATTTTAAAAGACAACAACAATGTAAGATCATAAAGTTCGAACAAAATTCATGAGTACCAAATTTCTATTTCAACCAACTATATTATAAAAAAAAAATAACATCAGAAATAGGGTTCGGCGATGAACGGAAAAAGAGTTTTAAAAAATAGGGTTTAGTGAAGATAAAGATAAAGATAGAAGAACACATAAATTGAAATCGAATATATAAACCCAATAACAAATCTCCATCTTTTTTTGCTTTAAATCGAACCCACAACGCAAAAGTAAATCTCCGTCTTTTTTTTTTCGTTTGAAATTGAAACAACAAAATCCGTGAATAGATTTATCGCTTGACGTTGATGTCACAGATTATTTCTATTTGATTTCAATTAGAAAAAGAGAAAGAAGAAAAAGAAAATGAAAACAATTCGAGAGTGATATATATATATATATATATATATATATATATATATATATATATATATATATATATATATATATATATATATATATATATATATATATATATATATATATATATATATATATATATATATATATATATATATATATATATATATATATATATATATATATATATATATAAGAAAAGAGTTAAACATTAGGAAAGGAGAAAAAGAAAAAAAATGTTGAAAATATTTAGTTACAATTTGACTAATTAGAAGAAAATCATTTAAAAAAGTGTATAAAGAAAAACTCATTAGTAACATTACTATTCAAATTGACTAAATATGTTAATTTGGTTGAAAAAAAATAATAATTAGATCAAAATTACTCTCATTTTAATAAGGTGGCAGAATTAAACAAAAAGATTAAAAAAAATGTTTTCTACATCATATTATTATAGATTATTTTACTAATAAAAAAATATAGTTCAAAATTACAATTATGGTTTTTACGGAGTTGACTTACACATTATTTTATCAAAAGTTGATTTCTGCACCTTTTAATTTTGCAATTTGGTCCCTAAACTTCAAGAATTTTATGAACATCCCTCTAAAAAATTGTCACTAGATGAACAAGCGGTCGCAGAACTGCCACGACTGCGCGCCATGGAAAAACCTCTTTTCTTCTTCCGACGCAAACTACATTCCCTTCTTCCATTTTCACTCACCACTTTCCCAACAAAATTCTTCCCAGAAAATCAAACCTCACCAAACCCTAAAAACAAAATCTTATTCCCGAATCCAATCCAATTTCCATAACCACGCTATAGATGGATCATTACAAGGTTCTAGGTTTACACAAAACAGCATCTAAAGAAGAAATCAAATCAGCATTCAAAAAACTCGCTTTTCAATTTCATCCAGATAAGCATTCTCAATCGCCAAAAGCTGTTAAAGACAATGCAACGGCTCGATTCAAACAGGTTTCCGAAGCATACGAAATTCTCATGGATGATCGTAAACGAGCTGAGTATAATTACCGGTGGCGTTCCGGCACCGGTGGAAGAAGTGGTTATGCTGGTGGTGGTGGGAATAGCAATTATTACTCTCAGTATGGTTATGGATATGGTAGAAGTGGGAATAGCTATGAGTATAAAAGTAGGTCTGGGTTTAATGGTGGTGGTGGTTTTGCGTCGAAGTTTGAACTTGCTATTCGGATTTTGACGGCGAGATCTTCTCTTCTCAATCTTGGATTCGCAGCGTAAGTCAAGTTTGTTTTCTTCTTTTTTTTTTCGATTTTTGAATTTTGGCATTTTTGTGTGGGTTAATAAAAAAACTCACATTGTTTGAGAATGAGTTTATGGTCCTTTAGAAACACTCACAATCTTAAACCCAACTAAACCCATTCTAATTTCAATTAACCACAAAATTGCAAAAGCCTTTACATTGAATGAGATTTTACATGAACATAGGATACGAAATATGGGGAGTCTAAATAATGGATATCCAATTTTCATTCATTAGTTCAATTTGCTAACAGTGAGTAGGGAATTGGGGTCCAAAAATAATATTGTGAAAATGAAAATGAAAAACAGAGGAAACACCAGCATGTATGGACTATAATATTCCAGCATGAGTTTGAATTATACTGATCAAATAATGTGCATTAGGAAAGATAAAGGAAGAAAACCGCAAGTGCAGTGTGTGAACTTCATACTAAGTGAATATATAGTTCCATTCTCTAACATTTTGGTGGTTTTCAGAATCATATCTTGCATATTTGGTTAGAAACATTAACTCAGAAATACAGTCTTACAAAGAACTAGTTTCAATTTCAATTAAGTAACTCTTACAAAGAACTAATTTGACTTTGTATATGATTGCGGCTACCTCACTTCCCTCACAATAATAATCTAACTTCCCATATTTATCATATTGATACCCATCACTGACTTTGGAGAACTCCTTAAATTATTGATACTCAGATCAAAAGCCTGTATCTACAAATAATTTTCAAGTACTTAGCTGCTGATTTTTAAAATATTTTTCTGGTAATCTGATTGAAGATTCTTGTTCAGGGCTATATTAGGTGTGATGATTGTTGTTGATACAAGTGGAGAATCCCTATGGAAGATGCAAAATTCTGGGGTAAACTTTTGGTTTCTGCTGAATTTCTGTTTGTATTTTTGATTCTCCTTAATATATATTTACTTGCCCTTAAAAAATATATAATAAAGTTTCTTCAAATTCTCCTTGATGCATGCACCTATAACAAACTTAGCATTTCTTTCCTAGTTAACATTCCTGCAAGGCTACACTGCATTGCACTCAACCTCCTATATGAATATTTACTGCCTAATAGAAACCCACACTATGGCTGAAAACTGTGCATTAACCCAAAAAATGAAAACAGAAAAACTTACAGGCTGATAAAGTTTCCAAGGTTATAGTCTACCTTTACCACGACCGTCCTTTTGTTTGTGAGTAGTATTAAGTGTTGTTAAATAACGGCTATAGCAGGGCTATAGCATTATAACATGGTCGTGAAATTTAAATAAACCGCTTTTGTTCTACAATGTGCTATTATTTAGCATAAAAAGTTGCCAAATATCGACTAGTGGCTCAATAGAATTGTTGTAGCAGAATTTGTACATGCTGCTAATTTATGCTATCCGCGATTGACAATATTAGGTAGTATGTATACCACTGTCTTTAAGGGAAAAGATAGGAAAGATGAAATATATAAGACATATATTTCACAGTTTCTTGTCATTGATAGCATGACGGCAGAGGATTATATTGACATCTTGACATCTGTGTATAAAAAGTGTTTACTCATTTATTCTTTGAATTTTTTGTGATTTAAGCTTCCTTTGTTAACTTTATGTGCAACAATACTGACTTGTTCCTTTGCACTTCTGTAATCTTATTTTTCACTCAGAAATCTTTTGAAGAAGCCATGAACACCATTGACAAAGCAAAAACGTATAAAGAAAATAACGTGAATGAACGTCCTTGATTTAATTCTCTGCTCTCTACTCCACTTGCCATTCAAATGCTTCTTCACATTTAATAAATAGTGAATGATGTAAGCTTTCAGTTTCGGAGATTGACTTCATGGCTGTATTCATTGGTGCACCGTGATTTACTATACTTGATTCTCGTTAGTGTCACGGTCTCTGCAGTCACGTGGTCCCGGATTAGGAGGTTTGATGAAGATCTGATGGCTGATATTGTAAGTTGTATTTACAATCAGATTTGTTGAAGTTGGAATAATAATCATTTGATTGTGATGCATTAGTCAAGAGTTATTCACGGCATAATTGTGTGCTTTTTCTATTGTAGAGAATTTGAGTCCAATGTAGAACATATACTTGTACATGTAACAGAAATTCAATATGTAAATTGATTACAATTCTAGTTTTGTATTTCATTGTCTGAATGTTTAAACAACCAACCGATCAGACCCAGCAAACCACAAAGTAAAAACCAACCCCTGGGGTGTGGACTCGAAGATCGGAAGGTCACCGCCCAACCTTTGAGTTTTCGAACCTCTAACGGCTTGAGTAAAGTTATGCAAACCGCCCATAAAAATGCTGGAAGAACTTGTGCATCTAACATAGGTCATTTATACAATGAACTTGACTTTTGTTTCAGGTGTAAATGTTAACTAAAGGGAAACAAATGGGTCAAATTTTATTGAAAAAATGCTTTGTTATGAATTTTGACAACAATTTTAATCCTTCAAAAGACTAATGAATAATGATTTAAAATTACATATATTTTGTAAACTAAATATTGTAGTGATCAATTGGACAAGTTAATTTGCTTAAAAAATGAGGACAATTTTGTTTTTAATAAAATATAACTGTGAATGTTACCGGCAATTGTAGAGATTAATAATTTGAATCGATAAGCACTATGAATTAAGCTGAAAGTTACCTTTTATCACCTCATTCAAAGGTTCTTGGATAAATGACTAGTTATTTTAATTTTTTAATAGAAACAACTATCAACTATCTATCCATTAAAATTAAAATAAATTACAACTAAGCTTTCTAAAATATCACAAATTAAATTATCATATTCTCTTCAAAAGATTTCACTAACAAAAAGATATATTTGTAATTAACAAATATTAAAAATTTAATTTTTTTCATTTACCACCTTATTCATTTCTCATTTTTTTTACTTTTAACTTTCTATTTCTTTCTTTTCTTCTCTTAATTTGAATTTCAAAATTTTCTCCCATTTCTTTTTTTCATACTTTCTCACTTTTATTTTAATTATTTTTCTCTTCATTTTCTTTTTTCTATTTTATTTTTTAAAATATAAATAACAAAATTTGAATTTTTTTTTAATTTAATAAAGAAAAACTGATAAAAATGTTGAATTTTTAAAACACAAAATTTATCTAAAAAATATAATTATTATATATAAAAAAATATTCATAATTTATATGATTATTGTTCATTTTATAATTAAATAACTCATTTGAAATTGATATGTCTATCTAAATATATTTGATATTGTATTAAATTAAATAACACTCAATAACAGTACACATAACTAACTTTTCATTTCATAAGCCACTGTTAAAATAGTATATATTTTATTTTAAACAATTGTCTTTATTTGAGAGACAAATTTTTTATGTTTAAATGAGAATTTCTTTCTTTCTCCTTCACACAAGTCTCTTTTTTTATATTATTATTCAATACAATTGAGTTTATATGATTATGATTCATTTTACAATTATGTAACACATTATAAATTGACATATATATATCTAAAAATATTTTATATTGTATCTAGGGGTGTTCATAGGTACGGACCAACCCACAAACTTACGAACCCAACCCAACCCAATCCAACCTTTATTTTTACCCAACCCGATCATGTATGAATTCAACCTGAACCAACTCACTCAAACTCATTAGTATTTGCTTCGGGTAACGGGTTTTAAGTTTTAAATCCACGAACTCACGAACTCAACCCATTGATATGTCACACTATTTTTATTTTATTTTATTTATAAATTATCTAGCATAATTCTTACCATGCATATATTTTTTTAAATATAATTATAGTTTTTATTAATTGTAAAAACCTAAATCTAAATCAAATTTGAGAGATCAACTTTATTTATTTAATGAGAGAGATATCTTACCTTTTGAATTATATTTTACATCATTTGTATATTTTTCTAACTTTATATAAATTGTAAAAGAATTTTTAGGTATTAACCAATCAATTTTATTTAAATTGAATACTAAACATTTATAATTTTTTTAAATGTTTTTAAAATATAAATGTTTTAATTAAATTGATATATTTTATTTAGAATTTGAAAATTATATTTAGTGGTTGACCCACGAAACCAACTCAATTCAACTCAACCCATTAATAAGCGGGTTGGTTTGGTTCAGGTTTAGTCTTAAAAGTACGGGTTAAACACTCAACCCAATACAAAGAATATTCATCGGGTCAGATATTGAATTTAATCAAATTAAATCCAACCCAACCTGCGAACACCAAATTTGTATCAAATTGAATATCACTCAATAATGATGCACACCACTAACTTTCTATTTCAAAGTCAATATCAGGACAATATTTATTTTATTTTAACCAACAATTGCCTTTAATTAAGAGATGACCAAGTAATGTCAGCATGAGTAAGGGACATGATCCTCTAAGACCACCTTAAATAGTTCTTGTTCTCCCTAAAAACAGATGACTGTGGCAAGTGCGAAATGAACCAATTGTACAACAGAGGTGTACAACAAACGATGATACCATTCCCTTTAGAAGTCCTACTGTTCTGACCTGGGCCCCGGCTTGACCAGACAGCCTCAGCCCAATGATATTATGCCAAGTCCAATCCAGTTTGGGCCACAACCGTCGAGCACAGAGTCCCCGCCGGGCAGGTAATGTCCCTCCGCGAGCAGGACCTTCTCCCTTGTCGAGCAGAACAACGTGTCCTTCACACGTTCTCCACGTGCTCCCCTCTGCGAGGACACGTCACCGACCAGCTTCCCACCTCCGAAAGAGCAGGTCAAACCCACCTTCCGGAGATCACGGGACAGTTGAACTAGGGCGAAGACCACGTCCTGGTCTTCACTACGCCATGTAAGCCCTAGCAGTCACTTGGGTTGGGTCTGGCCATCCAGCCCAATTCAAGTGATCGTTGGCCCTGCGATGGGGTCTCTCTATAAATACCCTCTTCCACAAGAGGGTTAGGTATTCTCTTCTTACCATTTTCTGTACTTGTGATCACTCTGTCCAACTTCTTACTTTGACATCGGAGTGTCTTGCAGGTACACCCCCCCTCATCTCCTTCTATACACCGTTGAACAGGCGTAAATCCAACAGGGCACGACCAGTCAGTGATCCCCTTCTGATCAGATCAGATCAGTGGCGCCGTCTGTGGGAACATAAAACTTCCCCGTTCCTCCGAGAAGAGAACCAAAGTTTCACCAACATTCCGCGATCATGGCTAGCCCCCACCACGACGATGCCGTTCACGGCCTCATCCTCGCTCCCGCCGCGAACGGCGGCAAGCAAACAGAGACATCCCAACCTCCGGAGATCGACGAGAGGGACGACCAGACCGCCTCTCCCTCATCCGTGGAAGTTGCACACCAGACTGTTCTTCAACCAAGGAGCCCGACAGCGTTCCAGCCCATCCCTGTCCCGGCCGGAGCAGACCCGACAGTGGTTGCCCTCTTCGCGACCATCAACCAAACGAATCAGCTGTTGTTCCAACAGAACGCACGGATTGGCGCACTGGAGCACGAGGTACCGTTGAGGTCCCCTCCGCAGGAAGACCAAAACGAAAATTCGAGGAGTCCATCCCCTCGTCCCAGGAATTGGCGACCCCGGCTAGAGAGGCCCCAACCCGAAATAGTGTGGGAGCGGACCAGGTCGCCAAGGAGACAAGCCCGGGAGCAACGCCCTCCAGGGGGGATCCCCTGACCAGACCTCCAAGGGTCGAACCTCCGGTCAGGAGGCCGAGGACGCGAAATCAAGCGCCTCCGCCGCCAGGGTCATCACCCCCTCAGTCACCAACTCTCAGCGACGAGGACGACTACAGGACCCCCTTGTCCCGAGAGATCATGGCGGCCCCCATCCCCCACGGGATGGAGAAGCCCCTAGTACTCTCGACGTATGACGGTACCTCCGACCCAGAAGACCACCTGGAAGACATCGAGGCCATGCTCGACTACCGAAATGTCCGGGGAGCTATCAAATGCAGACTCTTCCCAACGACGTTGAGGAAAGGTGCCATGACGTGGTACAAAAGTCTGGAGCCGGAATCAGTTACGTCGTGGAGGGTCCTAAAGGATCTCTTTTCAAGACACTTCACAGCATCCCGACGCCATTCGAAGACAGAGGCCGCGCTGGGCGCCATAATCCAGGCCCCCGACAAACCCCTTCGGAAGTACATCAAAAGGTTCACACGAGAAGCAGTGCAGGTAACGACGTCAGACGAGATGAAACGTTACCTAATAGAGCAAGGCCTGCAAAGAGACTCCAAATTCTACGAAGCTGTGGCGATACACCGACCAGCCTCCCTGCAAGACTTCCTCGACAGAGCCACGCATTTCATCCGGTTCGAAGAGACTCAAGCGGCCAACTCCGCCCGCGACACTCGAGACCGAGAAACCCCTCGCGGGTCCCGAGAGGATGGAGCCTCAAGCCACCGGCGCGGAGGAGAACGACGACGGGAGGACCGCCCTTGCGATCCCCGCGAGCAATGCGGTCCTGTCGGCCGGTTCATGGAGTATACAGCTCTAGTCGCTTCCCGCGAACACATATTGGCCGAGTGCGCCAAAACGGAGTTTGTCCAGGCAGGTGTCCGCTTCCCCAGGCCGACACCCCCAAGCCCAACATGGACAAATCAAAGTTCTGCCATTTCCACAAAAGCCACGGGCACGTTACAGAAGACTGCGTCCACCTCAAGGACGCGATCAAAATCTTGATCAAGGATGGGCACCTGAAAAGATACACCCGGGG